TAACATACTCTATGCAGTGCTCTGTTTGCATGCTAAACACTGTTGCATTCCGCACCCTTCCCACAGTAAGATAGTTCAGAAGAAGACCCTATGACGGAGCCAAACTACAGTGGAGAAAGGTTGGCGTGCCCTTTCCTAGCTATCCTACCATCCTGTGCTCTTTGTCTGTTCGTCCTTATTCATGCTGTTGTGCTGCCAATGTAGCCAAGCTATGCCCAGGGCGAGCCTATCGATGTCTCCCTACACCGGCCCCCCATCTACCAAATGAAGGGTGGTTCACCTGCTTCCCATATCCATGATATACCATTTCTACTGCCAGCTCCATAAACACAAACTGCCAAGGGCTGCACCTTTGGAGACATGTTAGTTTGTATCTCTCACGCACAGAACATGAGTGAGACAGAAAAAGAGACACAGAGACAGGCACAGAGCGAGAAAAGAGAGAGACCAAAACAGGAAGACTTGGGCTCTGCACATCAACGAGTGTAAACTCCTTTTGTTACTGGCAGCTTTCGGGATAAGTGAATCATGTTCTATACACGCACTCTGACGACTTACGGCCCACTGCTTTCACAGCAATGACTGACCACTCTGTGAATTTCAGAGAACAGTTCATTGTCCTTGAGACCACCTACAACTTGCAAGCACGTGCCATCAATCTAAGCTACACTGACTCAGCATTTCCATAAATTCATTTTCTATACATAAAATCCACTGGGTATTGCAATGTATTTGACCAAATCAGAAATACTTTGGGCTTAAAAGAGTTGGTTTTAAAATAATTAATGAGTGTCCTTTTTTTTAATGTGTGAAAGTTGTATTTTATTTAAAAAGGGGAAATGAGGGTGCCTGGGTGGCTCAGTTGGTTAAGTGACTGCCTTCGGCTCAGGTCATGATCCTGGAGTCCCTGGATCGAGTCCCGCATCGGGCTCCCTGCTCGGCAGGGAGTCTGCTTCTCCCTCTGACCCTCCCCCCTCTCATGTGCTTGCTCTCTCTCATTCTCTCTCTCTCAAATAAATAAATAAAATCTTTAAAAAAAAAAAAGGGGGGGAAATGAAACTGGAAACTGGGTTGTTCAGCCAGTACTTGAACTGTGTGTGAATGTGCCTAATACATTGTTACTGAAGGTACCTAGTAGGGAGGCACCTGGGTGGCTCAGTCAGTTAAGCGTCTGCCTTCAGCTCAGGTCATGATCCCAGGGTCCCTGCTCAGTGGAGAGTCTGCTTCTCCCTCCTCCCTGCTCTTGTGTGCTCTCTCTCTCTCTCAAATAAATAAATAAAATCTTAAAAAAAAAAAAAAAAGAGAGTACCTAGTAGGGAAAAATTGGCTGGATGACGGATGTTGAGATGATGGTCCTTTTTTAACTAGACCTGAAACATGGGTGGTTTTGATTCTCTACTGATCCTTCATTTCAGTAGTGGAACCAGCTTAGAGAAAACAAAAACAAAAGCCACGTTAAAAAAGTTTAAAATTACCAAAATTAAACATAAAACGTTCATCAGGGCCTAAAATAAGAAAGCAAAATCTGCTTGTTGAATGGAGAGCAACTGGCCAAGGCAAATGCCATCAGTATGAATGGACTGACTTAATTCAATTTCTTATTACTTTAAGACATATTAGGTAACCCCACAGTGCTCTAAAAATGTGGAATAAAAGAAAATGAGTAGGTGGAAGGGGCAGCCTGAGTTTCAACAGACCAGGGCTCTGACTCCAGCTGTTAGCATTAGGTCAGTTACTTAATTTTGCTTCAAATTAATATTCTTTTGTGTAAAAGTGAAAGTGATAGATTAGTGGATCTGTAAAGTTTCTGGAAAGATGGTAGAGAAATGGACTAGAAAGAGTGAAAAGGGAGCATTTTGTGATTTTCCAACAGGTCTTAAGGAAAAAAAGTCATTAAGCTAATTAAGGCCATAGTAATCAAATAAAATTCACTCAAAATAGTACGATTGTCCATATTATTTGAATTTAAAATTTTTACCCATGACATTCCCTCAGAGAAGGCTCTGAGTAATGTCTAAGTGGGGTAGACTGCTCTGAAACAGTGAAGCCTCTGTTATAACAGCTCCTTTCATGACGTGCTGAGTGATGCTGGAAAAACCCAAAGGAGGGACCCTGACACACCCTGGAGAATGCAGGAAAGATCCTGTTCGATCTCCTGTGGGCAACGCTCATATCCTGGGCAGAGCAATGAAAATGATGACTAGGTAAGAAACCAGGAGATAAACAGAAAAACAAAGCATGTTCCTTACATAATTTCTGTAAATACTGTGAATTCAAATGAAGAATGGCACAGGCCTATACCTCTGAAATCTTAGGGTTTTCATTGTTTTTTTAAAGACTGACTTAAACTTCCTTTCATCAAACTAAAAAAAGTCCCCACATTTGTCCCTAAGAAAAGATCCTTATTTATTTATTTATTGAGAGAGAGAGAGAGAGAGAGAGAGCATGTACGCTCATGGTGCATGAGCATGGTTGGGGAGGAGCAGAGGGAGAGGGAGAGGGAGAATCTCAAGCAGACTCCCTGTTGAGTGTAAAGCCCAACACAGGGCTTGATCCCAGGACCCTGAGATCATGACCTGAGCCAAAACCAAGAGTCAGAGGTCTCAACCAACTGAGCCACTCAGGGGCTCCCTAATTTATTAGACTAAGAAAATAAAAACAACAAATACAGATATGAATGAAATGATAGGTCATGTCAAAATGAAATGGAAATTGAGGGACACCTGGGTGGCTCAGTCGGTTAAGCGTCTGCCTTCAGCTCAGGTCATGATCCCAGGGTCCTGGGATTGAGTCCCGCATCGGGTTCCCCGCTCCGCGGGGAGCCTGCTTCTCCCTCTGCCTCTCCCTCTCTATCTCTCATGAATAAATAAATAAAATCTTTAAAAAAAAAAAAAAGAAATGGAAATTGAGAATGCAGTGAGTTGTGTTTTAAGTGTATGAACAAATAATTTTTTTATTGAAGTATGGTTGACATATTACTCTAGTTTCAGGTGTGCAATATAGTGATTCAACAGTTACATACAGTATGAAATGCTCAGAACAACAGGTGTAGTCACCATCTCTCACCAAACAACATTATTACAATATCATTGACTGTATTCCCTATGTTATACCTTTTCATCCCCATGACCTATATATTTTATTTTATTTATTTTTAAAAAAGGAGGGAGAGAGCGGGAGAGGGGTATGGGGGGAAGGGGCAGAGGGAGAGAGAATCCCAAGCAGGCTCCACGCCCAGCGCAGAGTCCCACATTGGGCTCAATGTCACAACCCTGAGACCATGACCTGAGCAGAAACCAAGAGTCGGACACTCAAACGACTGAGCCATCCAGGTGCTCCTATTTATTTCATAACTGGAAGTTTGTACCTCTTAATCCCCTTCCCCTATTTCACCCATCTTCCCACATCCCCCCATCTGGCAACCACCAATTTGTTCTCTGTATCTGTGAGCCTCTTTCTGGGTGTGTGTGTGTGTGTGTGTGTGTGCGTTTGTTCATTTGTTTTGTGTTTAAATTCCACATATAAGTGAAATCATATGATTTTTGTCTTTTTTCTGGCTGACTTATTTTGAAAGCTTAAGTACAAAATCAAAGTTATATTTCAAACAAGATTTTTAACTATTGCCTATAACTCCCAAATTAATGTTTCTAGCCTGGAACCTTCCCCTAACCTCCCCGCTTACACTTCCAGCTGCCCAGTGGACATTTCTACCTAGATGTCTCATGTATACTTCAAAGTCCTTTCCTCCCCAAGACAGGTCTGCTTCCCCCCTAGTCTCCTATGTCACCGGAGTCAGAAACCTGAGAATCCCAGGTCCTAACATTTTCTCACTTCCAATGCCCAAACCATTGCCAAATCCAGCATAGTGTAGCTCTTTCAAAGCTCTCTTCCTCTATTCCTCACTGCTTCTTCTCTAATTTCATCCCTCTCATCTCTTCAGTGCAAAACAGTGCAAAACAAATCTTCCCTTAATCTTGCTCACCTCCAGCTGTTTCTCTATACTCTCTCCGAGGTAACATACCTAAAATACCATTGACTACATCTTAAAACTCCTCAATGCTTAGACACACACACACACACACACACACACGCCCTTCATACCTGTGGTTCAACAACCCTGAACAACTTATTTCTGCATGCAGGTTTCACACCCCTCTCCCACTGCTCCTGCCGGCAATACCCTCCTCCACTCCACCAGGCCAACTCCCAGTCATCTTTCAAGGGCTGTTTCAGGAGTCACCTCCTCCAAGAAGCCTACTTTTACACACACAATCTCTGGCCCCAGGCTGCATTCAATGTCTTTTTCATTCCTTAACGCACTCTCAATACATTTTCATCATATTGGAGTTGGTCATATCTACTTATGTGTCTGTCTCTTGCATTTGACAGATACTCCTTGAAGGTAAGGACTTATCAGTTTTGCTTCTTGAGATCCTAGCAAAGTTTACAAAAATCAAAATAAAAGTGAATCAAACTATAAAGAAAAACAGATTGGAGGATATAAGGGTATTTTGGAGGATTATAAATATTTGGAAATAGTAATTGTTTTTCTTACTTACGCAAATAATACTTCATGGTTTACAAAGTGCTTTCATATATATTGTTTTGTTTTATCCTTCAAAAATTCTAAAAGGCAGGGTAAGGCAAATATGAAGGCTCTCAGAAACCCTAAATACATAAGAAATTCCTCTGAGGAGAGAAATGTTATTGATTTTTTTCAAGGTGCGTGCACGCACACGTGTACATATATGTTTGTGTTCAAATAAGTCTTCTTAGATCAGAGCTACAACTTCAAATAAATTCCTGTTACATCAAAATAGCCACTTGAATTCCTTCGTAACTACTAAAAAATTCTCCTGAAAAAGAAAAACTCTCAATTCTTTGTAGAGAATTTTCAATTATCTATTCCCTTATTCACTCTTTTCCAAGAAGTAGATTTTAGAACACAGAACAGCTAATTTAGATTTCTAAAGACAAAGAGAGAACTGATTTGCTCTCACCTTCAAAAGATCCACTGGGGCCAAAAGTCTCCTGAAAGTTTCCCTGATGTTTGAAAGCTGTCCTTTTCTCAGAATGATGCCAACAGCTGAGAGCAGTTTTGGCCAAAGTCTTCAACAAACAGGGGTTGTGGGTGCTGAGGAAGAATATCACAAGGATTCCTGAATAGGAAAAAAAACAAACCACAGAATAGTGTAAATTGTTTTGGGTTAGTTAATTCTATTAAGCTGATATTTCATTCTATCATCCTACTAAATTCGACAAGGGGAACTAAATACATATTAAATTCCATGATTAATTTTAACAACACATTTCTGTACTTAAGAACATCAATGTCTTAAGACTTTAAACAATTTAATGGCCACAGGTAATGAAAACAGGTAACATAATTCCAATTACATTTTCGTGTAGGATAGGAGTCTGAATGACCCCTAAACAGCAGGAAACAACTGTGCACACAAATTAAAGAGGAAAAAAAGGCACTTGATCTTATTCTCCTCTAATACTTCATGGGAATACTGGTCGCTTTACAATCACATCAACACACAAGCTGTGGCTGGGAAGAATCTAATACCGACCGAAAAGAACAAACAGTGAAGAACGAAGTATTTGATCAAGGTTGACGATGTCAGGGAGGAACTCAGCAATGCAATTACATTTTAGAGGTGGCTTTGAAGTCAGTGAGAAAAGAAAGCATTTGGGAATAAAAGGGGGTTGCTAAACACATCACTGTAAGAAAACAAGCATATGGTTAAGGTAGAAAGACACGGAATGAAGCCTTCATTAAATGGAAACCACCTAACAGAAGTACTGAATATTGTGTTTGCTTAATACCTCACTTTTAAGAGAAAGGGTAAAAATCACAGAAAAGAGTATTCAGAAACCTCTTTTAAACCAAAACTTGGGGTCAGTGTGCAGCGAGGAGAGCTGAAGGCGGGAGTGCTAGACCTGCTCCCAGCACTAAGGGTCTGACCTTGGGCATGCTAAGTGCTTCTCAACCTTGTGGGCCCTCGGAGAGCTTGTAGAAAGTATCGCTGGCTTGGCTCCATCCAGGCCAAATAAATCTCTGACATGAAATGAGAATCTCAGGTGGGTCGGAGTCCAAGCACAGGCATTTTTTCCAAAGACACAAAGAGAAGATGTTTCCAGATGGTTCATCTAGCTCGAACATTTGGCCTCTCCCTAATGGTTTGCACCTGGTAATTCAAGTTTGTCTTAAAACAAATATGATTTAAATTAATAGTATCCAAAGTTTAAGACCCTATAAAATTAAATAGTGCCCCCAATTTTCGAGAAGAGGAGACTGGGGCTCTGAGAAGTACGGTGCCATAGGCAAGGTCCAAGCAAAAGAACACCACTAGGATGGAATCAAGTCTTCTGGGGAGATAATGTCAGATCCTGAGCGGGGGCTGGACACAAGTTTGTCTCCGGCTGGGCCGGGAAGACCAGAAGGCAGGGAGCCACACCCAGACTAGGGCCTGATGCCATAGGCTCTCTGGGCTCCCACCCCTTACAGAATGAGAAGGAGGAAAAAGAATCCTACTAGCTAGATCACAGCACTTCATATGAGCTGAACACTGTGCTAAGAAACGCTCCAATCCTCACAACATTCTCAGACCTAACTACTATTATTATAATAGTTTATTTATAATTTACAAATGAGGAAATTGAAGCCAAGTGAGCTTAGTTTTGTCTCTAGAAAGGGGGAACTGGAATTTTAACAAAGCTAGTCTCTCTCCTAACCATGTATTTCCTAGTGGGAATACAGTTAACAGAAAGTTGGAAGCAAGGCTACTGCTCCACTCGGTGTCGGCTTTGTCTTTTTTGGTCACACTGCATTCTCACACTGGAAAGTGGCAACAGAGGCATCCTGGAGTCTTCCTGGTGCTTTCAGATTTTCTCAAGTTAAACACCAATTTCTGTTGTTTGTGACAGGATTAACATTTTATGGAATGATTTTTATTCTCCCTTCACACACACACACACACACACACACCACACACATACATCACACACATACACACAAACACACCACATACATACCACACACACACATGCCACACACATATACACAAACACACATACCACACACAATCACACCACATATGCGTACACACACACATAACACGCACACAACCACACCACATACACAACACACACCACACACATATACCACACACACACCACACACACACACATCACACATACACACACCACACACACACACCACACATACACCACATACACACACACAAAAACACACACATACTACACATACACACACCACACACACAACACATACACACACCACACACACATCACACATACACACACACCACACACACACAACACATACACACCACACACACACACACCACACACACACCACACACACACACCACACATACACACCACACATACACACCACACATACACACATCACACACACACACACACACCACACACACACCACATACACACATCACACACCACACACACACACCACATACACACACACAACACATACACACACCACACACACACACACCACACACACACACAACACATACACACACCACACACACTCTACATACACATATACACACACACTATATCACACATGTGCACACACATACTTCCAAATTAATAGAATTTGAACAGTGAGATTTAATTACACTACTTTAGAGACTTCAGTTGCGTGGGCAACTATCTGAAGATTCACCATCATAATCTGCCCTAACTGACTCAGGCCATCATGAATCTGAGTTTAGAAGCCTAACTGAAGTATCTGGAACATCATTTACAATTCATTTGGAAAAAAATTATCAAACGTTCTTATACTCTCCTTCAATCATCTTGGAGAAGTATCCCTGTTGTAGTTTGCTGCCCTGTTACATTTACATTATGTAAATTATCTCCTTTCTTTAAATGGCATTGTTATTGACTATAATAAAATCCAATTTACAAATATTCCACATATGAAATATATTTTATTTAAGAGGCTAAGGCAAAAACACTACTGTTTCTGACACCTTAGGCATAACCTAATTATATGATGGCAGAATTATCTTCATGGCTCATTTTAGTAATAAAGCAAAAAGATCATTTTCATTAGACCCTTCTGGGAAGAAATAAAAGAGTAGCAATAAAGATAAAAACACAATTTTGGGAATTGGAGGGGGCCTAGAAAGGTCACTGTAGCCAACCACCTATCTGCCCATGGTCTTTTCCATTTCAAGGGATTCTGTATGAGGTTGAACCTCGCTTCCTGCAGCTTTTACTCACTGGTCCCAGTTCTGGCCTTTGGAGACATATCCAGATTCACATTCTAATATAAACTTCCCAACCACAGCCTGCTGCTCCGAAAAGCAGGGGTAAGCTGTGGTTTGAGCAGAGGTGGCCACTGACTGGACCAGGGGTGGGCCTGACGCAGGGGTGTCCCACAGAGGCTGGTGGATGATCCATGAGGTAGCTTTGTGCAAGGATCCCGTCCCAGAAGAGAGATGACAATCAGCCATGTCAATCAAACCAGCTCTCTCTGGGATTTGGAGTGGATGTCAGGTGTCAGAGGAGAACCTCTGGAATATGCAGAGGGAAGCAGAAAGGCCAAAAGAGGGATCATGAGAGAGGAGGGGCATCCCTGAGGTTGCCTGACCCTGATAACGCCCCACTTTCCAGACCCAGACAAGGAAGCTGTGTGGTAAATCCTTACTCCTTAGGGGGCCCTGAGTCTCTGCTCTCTACAGCTCCAAACACGCCATACATATGGACTAAAATGGCAGCACCTCATTTACAGGCCATTCTTACAGCTGTGAGTCAGGTTGACAATGAAGATCTCCCTTATCTTTCTGAAGGTACTGTTAGAACCAAGCAAAGGCTTTATTTTCACCCCATTAATATTTCACCTTTTTAAAATGGAGTTCATTATTCCAACTTGTCAAAAATTCTCGACTTCTCAATTCTGCCCTTCCAAAGTAGTCGTTATGCCTTTCACCTTCGTGCCATCTACAAATTAGACAAGCATGCCATCTACATGATGTCCATGCCATGACAAAAACACTAAATAAGGCACTATTTCACAGAGTGGTATTAAAAATAGCAAAAACAAGACTGTTAACAAATAAAAATGAATGTGTTTATTTTATTTTATCATGTTAGTCACCATACATTACATCATTAGTTTTTGATGTAGTGTTCCACGATAAAAATGAATGTATTTTAGTGTCAAGGTCATTACCTAAAATTAACAATTACCAATTCTTAAAATTGACTGCAAGTCATCCTGAAGCTATAAATAGCTACATAAACTGACATAACCAAACAATTCATCTGCTGGATAAAGGTTTTAACGTTTAAGTTGGTAGAGACGGCAAAATCCAGAAGAATTAGATTCCAGCATCATTAGAGAAAATTAGGTCATAGTTGAGATAACTGGCAACATGAACTTTGTCGTTACAATAATTACCTGTGCAGCAGACCAAGAAGTTATGTTTGAGAAACATATTGCAAAACCTGAGCCAAGTTAGCTCCATCCTTCCCGGGGGCAATCATGGAAATTAGCAGAATCTGTCATTTTAGGTCATCTGGTGTGCCCATGCCAAAGTGAAACTGTTCCCCAAAGGTCTCAATTGCTTTGTCTAATTTAGCTTTCCGTAAGCCTCACGGGATCTCTCTTTATAGTAAAGAGCCCCACACTGAAAAGCTTTTTAAGTTCTCGAGTCTGCTTTTCTCAGTTTTTCTGTCTGCACCATTCCTGTCAGACCATGAAGCTGCAGTTTCTGCTGGTGGTCAGTGTGCCTGCCCGGAACCACCCAAGCCATCCTCACTGCTCTAACCGGACACTTCCAGTCCTCCCAGGACTGACTTTGTGAAGTAAGACTGGAAATCCTCAGAGGGAGAGCCCCATGGGCCCCGTCTAGAAAAAAAGCACGTGAGCGTGCGTGTAGATTTCCCACCATCTCTGTTGAACACGCAGAGGCCTTCCCTGGCTTGCTTCTTTTTTCTCAGCTGTGTCAAATTGTTCGACTGTTCATTCAACAATTACCGTCTGATCCACTGGGGTCAACGTACTGCCCAGGATGCCACGAGACACACAAAGACAATGAAAACTCGGCAGCTTCTGCTCCAAGACAGGGATGAGAGCTAATAATATCATCTTGTG